AAGTCAAAACATTTTTAAATACACTCCCAACCAATGAGTGACATCGACATGTGGACCAATCACCAACTCGTACATCATAAATAACCAGGGCTCAAATATATAATTAAAAACACTTTACAACATTACAAACAGATGATATTACACAATTTAAACGCAAAGTTAATCGTTTTTGTAAAATCACAATATCAAAAATTCAAATCTTGACAGAGTTACAATATCAACCCATCTTGATCAAACAGACACTCAGATATACAATAAGAACACTTTACAACATTATATTAAATAATGCTTCATCATTTAACCCCAAGGGTGATAAAGTTTGCAAAGTCACAATCCAAAACAACTCACGTCTTAAAGGCTATCAGTGTCACCACCTCTTGGTGGAACAGACACCTTTTCAATCCCCAAGAAACGTAGGGAGGATACATCATGATTAAAAGAGAGGAAATGCGCAGCAACTGGCTAAGTAATATCTTTTCTCCTAATGGAGCTCTTATGCTCACTGATCCTTTTTTTAAATTGACCACAAAAGATTGGTTGATCCTCCTGGCCACCCTATAGTTGTCAGTCCTGTGTCTTGTGTTTTGCTCCCCACGTCTTCCATGACCCAGTTTTCCCATGTCCATTGTTTCCAATTTGATTACAGGTGTGTCTCGTCTTCCCCTGATTAAGTTGTATATAAAGTGTGTTCTGCCCATTGTTTCCTGTCCGGTATTGAATGTCGTCTCTCCCCGCTACGTGTGTGTTCCTTGTTCCATGGATGTCATTAAAGTCTCTTTGTTCAAAGTATACTCCTCGTCTCCTCGTCTCCTCGTTCCTCGCTCCGTGCTCCTCACAGTAGCGAATGTGACAATAGTGGCTCAAACCAACTCTCTTTTATCTCCTTTATTCCACCCAATATGTGGATTACTTTATTAAACCATTTGTGCAGAAATTACCTTCTTATATTAGAGATTCTACAGATTTCATTAATAAGATCTCTGAGCTACGAAATTTACCTGATACAGTGTTGTTGTTAACTCTAGATATATCGAGTCTGTACACCAACATTCCACATGAAAAGGGACTGAATGCTTTGAGATACTATCTTGCAGAAAGTGGTGAGGCTTCTTCTCCACCTTTGGACTTCGTAGTCGAGATGGCCTCCTATGTCTTAAAGTACAATTATTTTAACTTTGACAATGACTTTTACCTTTAAGTGAGTGGTACGGTGATGGGTTCGATTTTTGCCCCAAATTAATGCAAATTTATTCATGGGCCATTTTGAACATTGCTATATTTACAATCGTGATGCTAATCCGTTTTATTCCCATATAAGGAAATGGTATAGATATATCGATGACATATTCTGTATTTCTTTGGGAGACCTAGATGAGGGTCATGAGTTTGTGACTGTTTTGAATACTTTAGTAGAGGAACTATAATTTTCTCTTGAAGTGAGGCCCTTCTAAAGTTCATTTTTTTGGATATGTGGGTGTATAAATATGAAGTAAATTTGATAACCACTTTGTATACTAATGAAACTGATCGTAATACTCTTTTACTAACTATGAGTTTCCATCCTTCCTCTTTGAAAAGGGGTTTACCCAAGAGTCAGTTCTATAGACTAAGAAGGATTTGCCATTCAGATTCTGATTTTGTTGAAAAGTCTGGGATTATGAAAAAGAAATTCTTGGATAGAGGATATCCCACAAAATGTGTTAATGATGCTTTTGATACTTTTCGAAAACCACGTACAGAGTTGTTAAACAAGAAGATAAAACGTACAAAAAAAACATTAATTTACCTTTATTACTACTTATTCATAAACATCTTATCAGATAAGAAATATTTTTAAAAAACATTGGCATTTGTTATCTTAGGACCCCGAGTTGAGTCATCTTTTCCAACACCCTTCGATGACTGTGTATAAACGTTCCAGAAACTTAAGAGATCTTCTGGTGCATGCCCGTTTTCAGAGTGCTGCTCCTCTTACATCTCAAATTTTATTGAGTCCTATACAGAATGGAAATTATCGTTGTAGTAATTGTGCACAGTGTAACAATACATTTAAAACTGCTGTTTTCTGTCATCCAAGAACAGGTCGAAAATATAAAATTAACTCTGTTATTACGTGTGCTTCTACCCATGTTGTGTACCTTATTCGATGTCCATGTGGTCTGTGTTATGTGGGGAAAACATCTCGTCAATTGAAACAAAGGATCAGTGAGCATAAGAGCTCCATTAGGAGAAAATATATTACTTAGCCAGTTGCTGCGCATTTCCTCTCTTTTAATCATGATGTGTCCTCCCTACGTTTCTTGGGGATTGAAAAGGTGTCTGTTCCACCAAGAAGTGGTGACATTGATAGCCTTTTATTAAGACGTGAGTTGTTTTGCATTGTGACTTTTGCAAACTTTATCACCCTTGGGGTTAAATGATGAAGCATTATTTAATGTAATGTTGTAAAGTGTTCTTATTGTATATCTGAGTGTCTGTTTGATCAAGATGGGATGATATTGTAACTCTGTCAAGATTTGAATTTCTTGATATTGTGATTTTACAAAAACGATGAACTTTGCGTTTAAATTGTGTAATATCATCTGTTTGTAATGTTGTAAGGTGTTTTTTATTGGATATTTGAGCCCTGGTTATTTATGATGTATGAGTTGGTGATTGGTCCACATGTCGATGTCACTCATTGGTTGGGAGTGTATTTAAAAATGTTTTGACTAATAGTATGTATAGGCCTGATGAAGGACAGTGGACCGAAACGTTGCTTTTGTTAATAAACTTCATTATTTAGCAAGAATTGATAGTGTGTGGGATTGCATCTTTATACAAAGTTTGGTTAAAAATAGCCTGAAACCTAAAAACTGATTGGTGAATGAAAAAAAAAAACATTGTTTTGCCTTTACATGCCTTTTCATATCTGTTTATTTTTTTTAAATAACTTAGTCCTGGCGTCCTCTACAAAGGACAAGGACAAATAAAAATAAAAAAATAAAAATTCTCCATTTGTTTCTTATGCTAAAAACAAAGTATTTTTTTATGCTTCTCTCAGTCTAGGTATATCTTGACTGCTTATAATTAACTACTAAATACCATATTTGTTCTGTCAACCTAGGTTTGAAGATACAGTGATGGATCCATACAATTTTACAAAAAGTCCTCTCAATTACAACTCATCCGAGTATGAAGATGACTATGATGATGATGATTATGATGAGAATACAGATCTCAGGAAATCTCTTAACATCATGTCACTCATAGTCTACAGTCTGGCTTTTGTACTTGGAGTGGTGGGCAATGGCATTGTCATTTGGGTTACTGGATTCAAAATGAAAAGGACGGTCAACACAGTCTGGTTTCTGAACCTTGCTGTAGCAGACTTCCTCTTCACAGCCTTCCTCCCTCTCAGCGTGGCTTATACGGCTATGGGCTTCCACTGGCCTTTTGGCCAGTTCATGTGCAAATTCAACAGCACTCTCAGTTTCCTCAACATGTTTGCCAGTGTGTACATCCTGGTTGTGATCAGCGTTGACCGCTGTGTGTCTGTGGTGCGTCCAATCTGGGCACAGAACCATCGGAATGTGAGCCGAGCTTCTGTGGTGAGCTTTGGAGTTTGGTTATTCGCCCTGGTGCTGAGCTCACCCTACTTTGTCTTCAAGGACACTGCACCCGACCACAGCAACTCAAACATAATCAACTGCTTCAACAACTTTGCATTCTCCGATGACTATGAAACACCAGAGGTGGTGGAGATCCGTATTCTACGGCATCGTGCCATGATCATTACCCGTTTCATCATAGGCTTTGTGGTGCCTTTTGTGATCATCGTCTCTTGCTATGTGGTCATCATCCATCGTCTCCAAAGAAACCGTTCCATGTCTGGCCGAACTGGACGTCCCTTCAAAATCATTGCTGCTGTGATCACCGCCTTCTTCATTTGTTGGGCTCCTTACCATATCCTGGTGCTCATTGAGATGGTAAACCACATGAGGGTGAAATACAGCTCCACCCTGCAATATGTCACCACTGTTGGAATTCCCATTGCGACCAGTTTGGCTTTCCTAAACAGCTGCCTGAACCCATTGTTGTATGTTTTCATGGGACAAGACTTTAAAGACAAGGTGCGCAAGTCAATACTGAAGGTTTTGGAAACTGCTTTCACAGAGGAAGTTTCACGCACAAATACCTGCACAAATTCAATGCCCACTTTTCGAAACAAAGAGAACGGGAGCAAGTCTTTCTCTGATGCAGAAGTATAACAGTATAACATAAATGAAGCACTTTTTCTAAAGAAGGACTTTACAAAGTGTCTCATGTGGATCTAATGCCATCATTAATAAAAGTGAGACACATTAACCTGAAGAACTGGACCAAAGGAAATTCAGTTAGTTTGAAGCTTTACATTAAAACTGCCTTGCTCTTATGGGGAAATGCTTATGTGATGCAGAATTATTATATAAATGTGTGTGTGTGTGTGTGTGAGAGAGAGAGATTTAATGATGAATAAAAATTGCTATTGTAAGCATATATGATAATGCATTTTTTTACATGTATTAGCTTGTCTTTACTGTATAACTATTGTCTGCACATACATTTTTATAAAGTATCTTTTATTTCATATAAAATAGAATTACATTTGTTTATGTATTTCAAAAATCAAGCAAAAAGCTGAAGCTAAATAAACTTATCAATTAAGCCTCTTACTCTGGTCTCATAGTGGTCTTAATTTAGATATAATCAAAAACTGAACACTAATACAAGAGAATATTTCGTTTTTTTAACATATTCTTTTTCAAATGTGAAAATGACATGAATCATTTTAGATATTTAATAATGTAATGTGTGTAATGCATGTTGTTTCTATTCAACTAAATTACACTAAGTGTCTAAAGAGGACAGTTCACTGAATTATTCAAAGAATCTATGGATTTCTTCCAAGACTGTATTGTACAAAAATTGTAAAACCACGAAAAGCCTTGTAATACACTTTACAGAAATTTAAATCTTGTATGTACATATTTTTTGGAGTGTTAAATCTAGTCAACATGTTTGCCAGTGTGTACATCCTGGTTGTGATCAGTGTTGACCGCTGTGTGTCTGTGGTGCGTCCAATCTGGGCACAGAACCATCGGAATGTGAGCCGAGCTTCTGTGGTGAGCTTTGGAGTTTGGTTATTCGCCCTGGTGCTGAGCTCACCCTACTTTGTCTTCAAGGACACTGCACCCGACCACAGCAACTCAAACATAATCAACTGCTTCAACAACTTTGCATTCTCCGATGACTATGAAACACCAGAGGTGGTGGAGATCCGTATTCTACGGCATCGTGCCATGATCATTACCCGTTTCATCATAGGCTTTGTGGTGCCTTTTGTGATCATCGTCTCTTGCTATGTGGTCATCATCCATCGTCTCCAAAGAAACCGTTCCATGTCTGGCCGAACTGGACGTCCCTTCAAAATCATTGCTGCTGTGATCACCGCCTTCTTCATTTGTTGGGCTCCTTACCATATCCTGGTGCTCATTGAGATGGTAAACCACATGAGGGTGAAATACAGCTCCACCCTGCAATATGTCACCACTGTTGGAATTCCCATTGCGACCAGTTTGGCTTTCCTAAACAGCTGCCTGAACCCATTGTTGTATGTTTTCATGGGACAAGACTTTAAAGACAAGGTGCGCAAGTCAATACTGAAGGTTTTGGAAACTGCTTTCACAGAGGAAGTTTCACGCACAAATACCTGCACAAATTCAATGCCCACTTTTCGAAACAAAGAGAACGGGAGCAAGTCTTTCTCTGATGCAGAAGTATAACAGTATAACATAAATGAAGCACTTTTTCTAAAGAAGGACTTTACAAAGTGTCTCATGTGGATCTAATGCCATCATTAATAAAAGTGAGACACATTAACCTGAAGAACTGGACCAAAGGAAATTCAGTTAGTTTGAAGCTTTACATTAAAACTGCCTTGCTCTTATGGGGAAATGCTTATGTGATGCAGAATTATTATATAAATGTGTGTGTGTGTGTGTGTGAGAGAGAGAGATTTAATGATGAATAAAAATTGCTATTGTAAGCATATATGATAATGCATTTTTTTACATGTATTAGCTTGTCTTTACTGTATAACTATTGTCTGCACATACATTTTTATAAAGTATCTTTTATTTCATATAAAATAGAATTACATTTGTTTATGTATTTCAAAAATCAAGCAAAAAGCTGAAGCTAAATAAACTTATCAATTAAGCCTCTTACTCTGGTCTCATAGTGGTCTTAATTTAGATATAATCAAAAACTGAACACTAATACAAGAGAATATTTCGTTTTTTTAACATATTCTTTTTCAAATGTGAAAATGACATGAATCATTTTAGATATTTAATAATGTAATGTGTGTAATGCATGTTGTTTCTATTCAACTAAATTACACTAAGTGTCTAAAGAGGACAGTTCACTGAATTATTCAAAGAATCTATGGATTTCTTCCAAGACTGTATTGTACAAAAATTGTAAAACCACGAAAAGCCTTGTAATACACTTTACAGAAATTTAAATCTTGTATGTACATATTTTTTGGAGTGTTAAATCTAGTTGTGTAATATAGTAATGTAAAGTGCAGTCAAAACAAATGCAAGAATGTTAAATGCAACAATGCTTTTTGTTCAAGAATAGGAGATATTGCTGTTTCAGTTTCCAACTAAGGCAAAGTAGATTTAATCATACTTAGTTGGTAACATGAAAAATTAAAGTTGGTTTTATCTTAAATATTAACCTTCTCGTAAAAGATTCATGAAAGATGATGGTCCATTCAGTTTCAGTTTTTGAAATGGTAACAGATTCTGATTGTATTGCTATATTCAGGAACAATGAAAGAAAGGCCAGCCTTGAGATTGTGAGAATCAATTAGATTTGCACCATGTCTACAACACTTGTTTGCAGTGTAAACACATAGTAAGAAGAAATAACTTTTAACTGAGAATTCAGTGAAAAAGTTCACACTTAAGGCAATCTATTAATCCATCAACTGAATAAAATGTCATATTATATTGTTTATGATAAATAAATAAAACATGATTGAAACTGAGTTTGTGGTATAGTGTACCATAGTGTATAAATGTATTGTCTCCACCTGTAACCCATTGATTTATTATTTTTGTATGCCCAAAACTAAATTATCCCTCAGGATTAAATTGCCAGGCAGTAAATAATATAAAAAACACATGTATGTATTTTATCACATAATTAAAATCTGAACCTTCATTGCAGCACTTACTTTGCTGAACTATACAGACACAGAGAACTGGGCAGGGACGTTTTGCCTTTAACACTGGTGACCCAAGAGAGGAGTGCTATGACTCTGTAATTACTTGAATTACACCATTACACTATCACACCATCAATACTGCAATGGCAATACCAGTTAAACAGACCCTCAAAATCCTGATCCTGCTGCTTTGATGAAGTTAGGATATTATCTCATCGCTAAAAGCTATGTACTGTAACTACATGTCTAGCAGATGACAGTAATCCACCTACCAGGGTTTTTTGTTTGTTTGTTTGTTTTTTCAGTTTAACTCTATGGGAAGAATGGGTGGAAACGTTTATGTCTTAACTAGCTCATTTCAAATGGTTCTGCTGTATTAAAAATCAATTAAATATTTCATGTAATCTCAAAAAATGTTGTAAAAAATCTGCATAATTACACAATTATTTTCTTCCAGCTGTTTTGCAAATAATTTTAAATGAACCCTTACGAACATTAATGGTTTTTTTATATAGTAATTTATTATAGTAAAAGTGTACTATAACCTAGGTTTTTTGGCGTATTGATTATCATTTGCATAACCACAGTTTTACTACAAATACCATGGTTAAACTATGGTTTGTGTAGCAAAATCATGGTTAATTTGTGGTTACCATGGTTTAACTACAGCAACCATGGATTTATTTGTAGTAAAACCATGGTTAATTTTCAAAAGGGAAGTATTGCATGTCACATTGTAAGGTAAAACAGCTTCCCATAATAGATCATATTTTATTCTTCCAAAAATTATTTGATGACAACTACCCTCCTACACGGCACAGCACATGCAAGATAAAGTAAACTGTGGGTTTAAATAAAAAAGCCTCACATTACAAAATCGTCTTACAGTGTTCCAGTTCCAGCACAGACAAATGTATATAATACATAATGTAGTGCCAAATTATCTCAAAGCAACAGATTTAGATAACATGATTTAAGTAGTACATGCATGTACCAAATATCAAATGAATTAAAAACAATTATTTCTAGATTTTCCACACCCTTTCGGTGTTCCCATTAGCTGGCCATCTCCGCTCCAGTCCTGTGGGTGGCGTTAAAGCAGAAAGCACATCTCACATGAAGAAGAATGCCAAAAGGAAGCTTTCGTTTTCCTTTTCCACCTCCTTCTTTTCTCGAGGATTTATAGTTGTTTGAGATAAACCACAACTAGTTCAGTTGACTGGTCAAAACCAATGTACGATAAACGTTGAATTCGCAAGACATTGCACTACAGCTACGCACTAAACAGAAAGTAGACGGAAAGTTGCTACCCGCGTTTGAGCCTCTTCAGAAGTGACATCTATCGACGAGGTAATTCGCGGATTCATGTGCCTGTTTTCATTTGTACATACTGTGTTATGAAAGCATGGATTTTTTTGTTCTATATCCCGCACACATAACCGGTTGGGTTTTGCTTACGTATCGTAACAAGTGTGTAATCTACTAGTAAAGGCTGATTTATACTTCTGCGTCGGACCTACGCCGTAGCTTACGCATAGACGCACACCCATACGCCGTAGCCTGACGTGCACCTCTCCAAAAATCTAGCAGACCGCAAGCGCTGTGATTGGTCTGCAAGAACCCCTCCCTCCATATGTACGTGAGTTTTGTGTGTTTATGTGCACTTTAATATATTTTAATGTTACACCTTCTTATATAAAATAAAACAAAGCAAAGAACAAGTGTCTTATCATTTATTATACTACATAGCATTATACATCAGTAGTTGTCCGCAACAAA